TCTACTCATAGTAGCGGCATTTTAATTTCCCCAGCTTTCTTTTAAAAGTATTTTGGCCCCTATTAGCATTATAAGCCACACGGCCAATAACTGGAGCAGTGCAGTCAAGACAATATATCAGGTTGTGGTATAGATTGGAAAGCGCAATGTCAACATTATTTGTGGTAAAATAAGTTTCCCATGGTAAACATTGAATGAGAGTTCCAGTTCGTTTCGATATTTGTTGATCAAAATATCTGCTTCGGTACATCAATGAAGCTTCACAGTTCAATTGTATGGCGTTTAAAGAGTGAATAATACTCAATACAACTCTATGGTCACGCATAAAAAACTCATGACTGGTGTGCACTGAGATACAGTCTATGTTGATTGTGAACATTATATCAAGTGTATTATTCCCCCTGGTCGGTTTTCGGACCTGTTGAACCCATCCACAAATTTCTAATGTTTTAACTAGCTTGTTATATCGACCTGGTACCGGAGTCAAGCCCATGTCATTTTTGGCAGATTAAAATCACCTCCGATGATTTAAAAGTATGCGGTTAGTGTGAAGCAATGGAAAAGATGTTTGTTAGTAATCTATCAAACTTAGTATCCGCATGAGATGGTCTATATATGCATCCCACCAGTAAATAATTTTGGGATCCAGAGTTTACAGTAACCCAAGTGGAGTCGTCTATAGCATCAAGGGATTTATCCTCAAATTTACATGCTTGAATGTCTGAACGGACATAGATAATTGTACCGCCTCCTATTCCATAACATCTATCGGTTCTAAAGAAAACGCAGTTATCTACACTCAAGGAATGATCGGATATAGATGAATTACACCACTTTTCCGTAATAAGTACAATGGTTGGATTTACAAGGAATAAAAGAGTTTTAAGATGAATAATTTTATTGTACAGAGAGCGGGCATTGAACGAAAGAGTAAGAAAGTCAGAGTTATCATAGTGAAGCAGGTTAGAGTATAAATCCCAATTGGTAGTTCCATGAATACTCGTAGGATTAGCTAAGGTAAAAGTTGTGTTGCGAGGGGAAATAGATTCAACCACTTTGTCATCATGTGGAATATGTTTACCGTTGCCGGCAGGAAAGCCGGCGGAATTACAAAAACGTCTTCTCATTGCTATTGGATACAACATCTGATAAAGGCATAGTGTACATATTGGGAGCCGGACCAAGAAGGCTATCAGGTCTATGTGTGCGGCCAAGTGGCCAATTACAATTCAGATAACTATTTATACCTGACGTATGGGTAACTTGTTTAGGACGTTTATTTCCAAGGTTTGTGGTTGATTTTGGCTCCTTCATAAGTTGGAGAGGATTGTGTGCTGTTAAACATACTTGCGATGATTTGCGAGGTTCGAATATATCAACGTTAAGTGCGTGGTCAGTTATATGAATGTTATGATTAGTTTTCCTGTTATCCGTTGCACAGTTACTGTAACTGGGTGATGCACTAACAGGGGTTTGGACTGTGTTATCCCATTCGTCATGAGCACAACTACTTCGGGTTGAGTCTAAGTCATCATTCTTAAGAAGATGGACAGCACCTACATCGGGATTACTTTCTTCTGGGTTTTGAACTTTAGGAGATTCAGAAGAGTTTTTCGGTGGCGGCATACTTGTAAAGCTAGACGTCCTCTTAGAATCGGACCTAACTTTACGACCATTAGGATTATGATGCGTCTGAGAGTGTAGCGTGGTTTCAAGTTGAGATTAACTATGAACACCGCTACCAAGAAACACGTGCCAAGTAGATCAGAAGGCGTAAGAAGCTCGTTCCAAATGACTCCATAAAATCCCCGAGAAGCCAAATATCAGAAGACAGTTAATGGACCAAGTCGAGGTTTATTAGCTGGCGATCTCGTGGCATCGAAAGGATACCGAGATCGTGCCAGGATACAACCTTGGTTACAGAAGGTAACCGAATTCGCGCGAAGTTACAATCAAAGTGTGTGTATAAGAATGGAAGCACAAAATAGCTGTCATTAGCACAGTCAAACAAAGCACGTTAAAACAAACACTGATACAGTTGGTTATAATAATAATTGTTTTTATTAAACCAGTCGTGTTCTCGTGATAAATGTGAGTCACTACAAGAGTTTGACGCTGGTGGTCTGTAGCTATCTCTTCCTGCTTTTCGCTGGCATGGTGTTTTATCCGGAAGAGTCTTAATATCCTTGAAAATCTGTTTTTGTCTCAATGAATTGGAGGAAGTTAAAAATTCACTGGAGTCTACAGATGAGCTGAATTTGAACAATATCGGTGAGTGCATACCAGGATGACTTCTTCTTAATCTTGTGCATACACATGGTACGTGTGTCATATTGCCGGCTCTAAGCAGACTAGATTTGATATTTTTAAGGGCATGTGTATCCGGTATATTAAACACAATTGCATTGCTAGATCGTCTTATTCTTTCAATGGTGGATGCATAACACTGGATAACATTCATTGTCATTCCCTCGTTTGTTTTCAATGATGCTTTGATGATTCTGGATCCGTGAGACTCCTATCCCACAAGTGCGTTTCTTGTTGCTTTGCACAGCATTAGAGCAACTCCCTGAGTGTGCGGAGCATCTTCCTCTTCATGACGGGAGTATAGTATCATCTCTCCCGTATTTAGCCTTTGTTGTCTAGCTTGGATCCAATGGGTTCCGCTGATTCCCAGTACTGCCAGTTTGTATCTCCTCATTTCCATTGCTATTTGACTGGTCTTCCCGGTCTCCCACATTGTTCGGACGTTCCATGTACCTATAAAAATTGTTACTCTGACTGTAAGCAGGGACATCGGCCTCGTGGCTTCTGAAGGAACTCGGCTTTCACCATGAGGCATCATAGTTCTAAATGAAGGCCTTTTAACTCCCAGGACAGAGTTTACGTGATCTGAATTGTTTTTTCTGGTTAGCGTTTTTTAATGAGTTAGTTTTCTACGGGATGGGGACGCTAACCCCATGTCCAACCCTCCTCTTTACCTGGGCTTGGGACCGGCAGTAACTCTGGAAGAGCTACAGGCGTTTTTGTCACATACATTATGTCATAAATCACACTTATCGTCTGACTTTTCAGGGGTTAGTCTCCTGTCAGGAGATTCACTTGTTGACCTAGAGTACGCAGGTGATATGGTTCTATCTGATGAAGACGCTGAAAAATTACAAGATCTTATGAATGCCTAAAGTAACAATGTGAGCATGTTTGTAATGTGATTTTCTCCCACTAAATGCAAAATATTGCTTCAGAATTTGTGTACGTCAATGTCTGAATTTAATGATTAGGAATGCACCTGTCAGCTGTCCTCCATGCATGACACTGTACTGTAGTCCGTCGTATGAGTTCCGGATAATGTTGGCAATCTTCTCAGGCACTCGATAGTGTCGAAGAAGTTTCCATAATGTTCTCCTATCAACACTGTCAAACGCCTTTTCATAATCAATGAAGTTGATGTATAGTGACGAGTTCCACTCAACTGATTGTTCGACGATGATCTGTAGTGTCGCAATTCGGTCTGTACACGACCGATCCTTACGGAATCCAGCCTGTTGATCTCGATTTCAGAACATAGACTCGAAGTTAAAGAAAGTGCTTTCCTTCTTTCTTCTCTACTTATATATCTATATATCAAATTTTTGCCATTTATCTGTTAATCAATTTGTATATATTACTTTTCAGTTATTTTTTTTCTCAAAAATGATTTTCTCAACAATCTCAAGAAGATTTTACATTTTTAACCTATGAAGGTTTTTTATTTGTCTTGTACTTTCTCCTACGTTCTACTACCCAAGGAAATATGAATTTTTATTTAAGCAAAAGTTTAGATGTATTGAACATACAGTTGGGAACGTATGAGATTATTGAATGGCAATCATGGAACATGATAACTTTCAACTGGTTTCTCGTCATGCAACCTAAATTCTTTAATTAATAATCTACTGAACATTGGGCTGTAATGTTTATTTGACGGACAGTGATGTTAGTCAGTTGATCAAGTAGAAGTAGGTAAATCAGGGTAAGAATCTGAAATTTATTGATTGAATGTTGAACATTTGTAGTATCGGTTGCATATGTTAAGCCCACATATTTTATTCTGGCTTCCTGACAATCCAATTTATTCATTATTCTTGAGTCATGTTTTCATCTTGTTAATGATTCGCTTATTAATCGTGACTGTTTTTTTATCTGAACATTTGTGTATGCACATGTTGTCCTATTGATCACATGTCTGTAAGTTATTTTCGTTCGACTATAAATATTGATTCAGACATGGTTAAATTCAGCTGGCTCACACTCCTTCTCCACTATGTGTCATTTCGCTTCTCTCTCTGCTTCATTTCTTATATCGTTTGTCTGGATCAACGATTGTATGAAATACACGCACTGGAAATCCATTCTCGTATTTCACTTATTTAATTCTGTTGTTCACCAGAGCGATTTAAGTAGACGATTATATACAAGGGTAGCTAGGATATATATTATCGATAGCAATCAGTGATACGATCTAACTGGATTCAGATATCGGGTCACTAAACACTTTTAGAACCAGTCAACCATTAGCCTAGTCCCCAATCATCACCATATACTGTTGAATAAATCGAAGTCATGTTTATTTGATTTCCATAGATCGCATATGTGAGGACGGCCGACTATTGAACTCGAGGAAGCTCTTAGAAGCTGAAAAAAGCCGAAGATATTCCAGGTAGTCAACTTGTGGAAGAATATTCTAGAACCTCTACTTTTAGCTTCCCTATTGGATAAATGCTAAAAACCCATATTTGCTGATTGGGTGAATATAATGATGATTTCGCTTTTACTAAAAACTATAAATACCTGAGAGTTTTGGACCATATTTGACACTGCTTGGAATAGCATTCCTTTCATTTGTCTTTCGTCTTGTTACTTGTGACTTCGAGAGTTTTAGCATTCGAGTGCTGAAGTTATATTTGGTACTATTAAGAATGTAAACTCTAGATATAACAGTGTATTGGTTAGATTATTTAAAATATAGTACTAGTTGTATCTCTTGGACTTGTTGTCCTAAAACAATATGTATTATGTGAAATTTGTTCCGTTTTTTGGGGTTACACTTGAATGTGATTAATAACTGTTTAGCTGGAAAAAGAAAACAAATCCAGCGTGTTAGTACGAATGCAATGTCTATCGTCCTATTTCATTCATTATAAGGTAAGTAAGATATTATATTTGATCAATCCACAATATAATCGATGATTCCTAAAAACGCAAGGTCATAGCAAGAATTTAACTTAGTTATTTACATTTACTATAAGTTTCATGTATTTTACTTCAGTTATACTACTCTCATCATTATTATTAGTATTTTCATTTTTACTTAATTTTATTCCAATTTCCAGTCATTTAAACGTCTGCCCAAATAATAAAACTGTTATATACAATAATAATAATGAATTAAACAAATGTTATGCATTACAATTGAATTTAGCTAAACAACGTCATATTATTAGATTAATTAAAGGTGATCAATTTACAATGAATTTACAATTAGCATGTCATTTATGTTCAAATGATAATCCAATACATTTTCAATGGTATCGTATTCTACGTAAAAAATATAATCAAACAATATTTCATTTAAGTAATAAAACATTCTATGATCATAAATGGATATTGAATAGAGATTTACTTGAACCAGTTCTAACTAATACACTCATAAATGATCCATGTTTAATAAATAGAACAAATGAATTAGTTTATAAACAATTTGATCCATATCATGATTCTGGTACTTATGTATGTCAATCATTAAATAATAATAAACATCCTTTAAATTTTATATGGTATCATATAGATTATATTAATGCTTATACAAATACATGGTCTAGATTAAATTTACCATTTATAGAACGAATGAATAAATCTGTAACTACATATAATCAATTAATACAATTACAAAAATATATTGAAGAAGAAATGAATCGGCCGGAATATTTTCATGATCAAACATTCAGTCTATTACGTATTACATCAAAATCATTTCATAATTTAACACACTACAAATATTGTGGTAATATCCATGTCAAACAAAATCGTGTTTGTTATATACAGATACCAAGAAAACTACCAATCCATATTGATAGTAATAATAATAATATAGAAGAAATAAAATTAATTTATTTTATATTATTCAATGGTTTTAATGAATTTGGACAATTTTATGATGATGATGATGATGATAATACTAATCAATTAAATTTTTGGCGGTTATTTAAAAAATCTTCAGAAAATTTAGCAACTCAATTAGGTTTTCAATTATTTTTAAATAAAACTTATTTATACATACCATGCCAATATAATTTTTTTAAACAATTACCTAATTTAAACAAAACATTTCAACCATTAAACATATTAAATCTTTATATAACTATTACATATCATTTACATTGTGTTCATCAATTAGATACAATAGAAATGATGAATTTACCTTTAAAATATGATGTAACTAAGATGAAATTAAATATTCATGATTATCATCATGTAAATTATATGAAATTAGAAAAATTAGCTATGGAATATGAACCATTCATAACATTGGATTGTTATCTTACTAAAGAATATATATGTAACCATACTACTGCCGCTAATAATAATAATAATCTCATTAAATGGAGTACAACTAATTTAACATTTTATTCACCTACTATATTCAATGAAAGAATTTATATAAATGAAAAATGTCAATTAATTATTCATAATGTCAAATTAATTGATTCTAATATTTATAATTGCTACATAAAAAATCAATATCAATCAAATAACCCATGGCAACTAAAAATATCATATAGATTAAAAATTGAAAAATCTTATTATCAATGGCCTAGTAAAAATAATTTATTAATTGGTTTATTATTTCTTGTTATATATAGTATGTTTATTATAATAATATGGTTTATTTTAATGATTTATAATGTATATATATTTAAACAATTAGCGGCGAGACTATAACTTATGAACGGACCAACCAGGTATAAGATAACAGGTCTTGAATTTTTGACGCGAAATTCACTCAACCATTTGACTTAATAGTGTGTTAGCATTTTAGCTAATGTCAGTTCATGATGAAATCCCTTATTCTAGTTCCTAACCCTAACCGTCAAATGTAAATCATAATTCTAATTTCTTACATTGCTTTATAGTCATCATTTAGTCCTAGTTGGTAGGTAGATATTCCCATGGTTATTTTAACATCACTCAAAGGTCGTCCATATATTATAGTCTCACCCAATTAGTTTATAGTAGCTCACGTGAAATTGAGTTTGTTCACATTTAATTTGGTGAAGCCGTTTTTTGTTAACTTATTTAACACGAATAGTCATTCGTACAATAACAAGTTATCTTATATCATTGTACCTTTATTATTGTTGCACTTGTATGAATATGTATACTTGAGCATTGTTTACTGCCTATGCATATATTCACTCTGCTAGCCTTACTATCAACCGCTTAACTGATTCAATGATTCATTCATTTCACTATATATATGTACACTTTGATCCTGTTCATTGACTGGTTCATTCAACTTGCTTGCTCTTTCATGCTTGTGTACAGTACTTGTAATTTTGGTGTCCTGTGTGTGGTGCAATAATAAATGTAATCAACACTTCGTATTCGCCTTCTGATAAACTCACCGTTGGGCCGTTATCTAGTGACGGTTATCAGGACGAACTGTATACGAAGTTTAAGGATTATATTGAATACCGACCACCACACACTTGTAAACCATCTATCAACATCCCCATCGAATCACCAATGCGTAGAACTCGTCATCTCAATACGTGGACGAATATGTACTCACTGACACTAGGGGAAGTTTAAGATAGATCATCATTTCAAATATCGTGATTTGAAAATGATGGCTTCTACCAACTTCATGTTCAGCTAAGATCTTCATATTAATATAATGTTAACCAATATGCATGGTCGATAATTGCCGTAAACGGGAGGATATATTGGCGAACAATGTACGGATGGATTACAACTATTTCTGGTATATATTACATATATGTTACTTCACTCCCAGATTTAAACATGAGTGTATGACAGCTATCATTCACTTGTTTTTAACAAACATCATAAATTCAACGAAGTGCTTTGATACGCCTACTGTTATTGGCACAGGTCCCGTCAACTTCAACATCCCGCTTCATAATCTACTTTACATGTAAATCCTGTGCCTAAGTGCAGCGAGCAATAGCGGTTTACTTTCCCTCATTTCTGCAGTTACACTGACATTTAAAACAAATATCATTTTCATGGAACAGTCTAACTGCACATAATGGTTAATAAGAATACTACGAAAAACTAAGTCTATAAATGTAGACACATTATGGTGTAATATTAATATTACCGTTTGACTTAGGGAATTATTAAGTTCAGTTTTCAGCACTGCGTATGTGATCACGTAAGTGTGCATAAGATCGTTGTTCATGAAATAATGAAATGGATTTCTTACTTAGTTATTCGTGACTCATCCTGCGCACAGTCCATGACGACCACCTCTGTACTTTACATGTCATCTATTATATCCGTGAGCTGATCTAATATCCAGATAACATCAGCTCTTCATTCCATCCTTGTGCTTGCGAATAAAATCGGACAACCATGACGGAAGTTATCAGTTATCACCAATTCAAACAATGAATACTTCACAGTAAAATTTGCCGGACAACATCCTCATTTCTCATTATTGGTTTTGTAAGTAGAATCTTAACCGACAACTTCCACTTATTTTTGGTATGATGCTATCTCATCCTACATACAGATGCAGATCCTACTTACGGGTCTTTATTTGAAAGAAGATTCTTCCAGTTCGCCTCATATTTTAAGAAAATGAAGACTTTCAACCGAGAACCATAGCCTGAAAATATAGGAATACGTACATAGTTGTAGACATTTTAGCTTTCATTGTCTTCATTTCGGTAATAGTGACTTCATGCCCAGCCTCTCTAACACATTCGATCGCTTGATCTAAGAATGATGACTTGAACAGTGCTGACCTCAGGTTCTTCTTACCCTTTGGAGCAAATCGCCTCGTCAGCGGATCATCCAGGAACTTTCACAAGAATGATTTCATCTCACCGGACGTGATTTCATCACTTAATCAACCTGTTGAAGGACTGCACGGATCAATAAATGCAATATCGTAAACTTAGATCTGAAATGTAATTTTAAATTACCGTCCTCACGGTTTAGTAATGATTCCTAGACCTTGTGGTTTACGTTTTCGGTCAAACGTATACTTGGATCTAGTGTCGCTTATCCAGAAACTTCCCATATGTATATAGCGAGTGCGAGAAATCTAAAACATAAGAATATATATCACTTACGTGCTGAAATTCACTCAACACTAATCCGAATTCCACCTAAATCATGAACCATCTGCTCAGAATGATACACCTGAACACACCAGTCAGGTCAGCCGATGGATTTCTGGGACAGGAAGCACGACAAATGAGAATATGTCAGTAGAAGACAAAATAAAAAATGTATAATTGTGGAGCAACATCACTAACAGCAGTGGAGAAGGTACTATTAACAGTAAAGGGGAACGATAACAGTTCTTACCTCACTGATCGTGAGTCATCTTTTTAACTTCGAATAGAACCAGATGTTGCCCAGTTTATCAGCATACATAATTGTGTGTGATTATTTTTATTCATATTATTTACTTACCTGGCTATATTGAACTATAGGGAAAATTATTCATTCGATATTTTCTCATAAAATGTCAAACAGCAGTAACCAAATTGAGGTTTATGCCAAAAAATACAAAAGCTTTGTTTATTATGTTGATAATAAACTTGGTGGTTTTCAGATATCAACAGTCTACGTGACTGTGCCAACAACTGAGCACCAAGCTAACCTACACTTACGCAACCGACCCCAAGCAATTTGAATACGGAATACCCTCTTCTATTCAGCCACTCAAAGTTGGCGGAAGGGTATACGCGGTCCAGTTTGAAAGTCGATTACTTTTCTCCCGTGTTGTATATTTAGGTGTGGAAAGAGACGGATTGTACTTAACTAATGACCTATCAATTGACCATCATTGTAGTTAAATTCCTTGAAAAGAGTAGTATTGTTATGTGAAGATGCAAAAAGTGTTTCTAGATTGACAAGACTTCAACCAGTAACACCTCCTATGTATCGTGCCCGCCTAGTGAAATCAAAAGTCAGAGGCGAGGAGGTTCGAATAAATATGTGATAGACTATTAATAAATCGAGAAACGACTTATCTAACTGGCTAGCGGTTGCAGGGGAAATTGAGCACGTTGTGCTCACTAGTGATCTGATGCGAATGCATGACCGAGGATCTTCAGCCAGCTGAGTCCATTAAAACTAACGTGGTCAGCATCCAATGTTGAATATCTACAGGGCTATTTATTTACCGCTACAGATCACTCCCTCCTAGTGGTGTAGTGATGACCCTAAGATGTGGCCAGCCAGAAGTCTAAACCCAACGAGTTTGTCACTGTTAAACACTCTCCTGATAGCTTGCTAAGTTTAGCAACGTCGGGTCGTCTTTCCTTACTATAAGGGACCATGTAGTGCAATATAGTAATAAAGTAAAAATTACAATGAAAATTTCGGTCCATCGCAAACTTTGTCCTTCTCTTTTCGTCTTTTTCAGCCGTCCTGGAAAATCGCAGTAAACAGGCTTCCCTTCTAAATACACCGCTTCGATGCGATTGATGCTGCTGTTGTCGTTAGTTCCGTCTTTACCGATTACATAGTAGTTATTTTCAGGCTAAAGTACTTTGGAGGGTCCTTCGTATTTTGATTTGAGAGGCCGTTGAAATGAGTCTAGACGTACAAAGACGTGTGTATTATGTTGTAAGTCAGGTTGAACAAAAACATCAGTTGACTGCGGTCGAATGAAAACAGGTCTAACTGAACTCACTGTGTTTGTAAGCTAGCTTGTGTAGGAGGTAAGACCCATTCTCATTGAAGATGATGAAGGATCAACGATGTGACGTTCCATAAACGAGTTGAGCTACAATGCATCCAATTCCAGCCTTTACTGGATTATCAATACCATGTAAAACGAGTGGAAGGGCGCCGGCCCACTGTGAAACGTTTACAGCTGATAATAAAGCTTTTAGCTGTCGATGAAAGCGTT